TTCATCAAATAAATTTGACAGTAATTCTTTCTAGTGCACAATTTATCGTGCCATCATAATTTGAAGCATTTAAACTTCAAAAATAGCGGCTGGCTGCAAATTACTTTGTTTGAGCCTTTTGATCTCATCTACAATCAAATACAAATTACAAGTAATTTTCTTTCTGGAAGGGCTGGCTCCGGGGTTTTCAGTGCGCCTGGAAATGGGGGTGTGACCTGTTTGTCTTTTTAATCAAAAGCTTGAAGGTCATAATTATTTCTATTATTACTGCCTCAATCACAGCTTTGCTCGTCTCTGATTCTTGAACATTGTTACTCCAATCATCTGAACATTGTTCACATTTTAAAAGGGAGACTTTTCACTTTGTCATTTGAGCTTTATGTACGCATTCTGTTTATTGGCATCTGACTCTCCCCCACTCTGTCCTGTGTTCAGGAGCCGTGGTCATCGCCTTTGTGGTCTGCTGGCTGCCCTATCACGCTCGCCGCCTCATGTTTTGCTACGTCTCCGACTGGTCAGAGTGAGTAGCTGTTTTTTTTTTTTGTTGTTGTTTTGTTTTCCTTTCTCCTTAGTCTTTTTTGCGTTCCATCTCCAAAAGCTTGTTTGCCAACAGGGCACTGGCATTTTTTAGACCACCATATGTTTGCTTATATTCATACTTTCAAAAGAACATACGCACAAATGAACTTAGGTATTGACTAAAGAACTCATTTAGAGTCATCGGTTGAAAGCATCTGACAAATGGAAGCAGGAGAGCTACATCTTGTTGATTAGATTAAATTCTTGTTCCCTCACTTGCCTTTTCCATCACTTTCTATCTATTTTTAGTCCATCAAAATATAATTTGTCTGGTTAAATCAAACGGAGCACATTTGAGAATGTTAATATTAGTCACTCTCATCTGCTCTTTCGTACACAGTGAAAAGCAATAGAGGCAAGACATAAATGACCATGAAACGGTAAAATACACAAGGATCTTTTTAGACGCTTTTGTAGGTCATGATAAAAATTCTCAAGGTGTAAATTTATCAATCTTGTTTTCTCCAAATTTCTAAGCTAATTCTTTTGCTGCTGGTGGTTCTGGCCTGGTATGTTGTCACCAAGTGTAATTTTTTAGTTATATTCAATTTAAAGGGGCAGTATTATGGGTTTTCCAGGAACATAGTGACATTTTAAAGCACAGTCAAGTAACTGTGTTAGCTTCACTTGTTATAAAAATGTTATATTTATCAAAAATGATTTAAAAGAAATTTGACTTCCAAATTTAATGCCTTGAAATTGGGCCTCTGTTTCTTTAAAAATTCCTGCTCATTCTGAAACTCCGCCTTCAGGAAGTCTTCATAACATCGCTCCTTTGTTTACCTTTAACAACAATTTTACCAGCGTTTCACTGAGAAGCAGCTCGTATAATGAGATCAGCAGATTAGCAATTTCACCAGGTGTTTGCTAATTGCTGTGGGCTAGCTGAGTGGGGAGGACTGCTCTGGAGGAAGCTTGGAAACTTCGGAGCTGCAGCTCAGACAAGGAGCTGCGTCTCAAAGGTGGAGCGAGGTCCACCCAGGTGTTTTACACAGCTGAATGGTTGCCAGAGATGAAAGGATTTCTAAAACAAGGCATCACTTTAGGTATGTTTTTGAGGAGGAAATTACATTATTTACAAGATGTAAAGCTCAAAAATCTAGATATTTTCCATAATATTGCCCCTTTAATTAAAGAATTTTAGATATGAACATAAGTATTCTACTTTGGTGAAATGTCAAAATTTTGCCAGGGGTGTGGTTATGGTTTCACAAGGGGGTTAGTCACACTTTAGCTAGACTGTCATCACTTATTTGCACAAGTAATTTGTGCATAAACCTTAAAGGTCTTGGCTAGCTTAGTTCCTTTCAGTTGGTATAACATAGGGATTTTGTCCTCACCGTCCCCTTTACCTGCTCCGGTTTGTACATGGCCTGCTACAACAGTACAGCATTTATTCTAGTGGTACCCAGGACCAGAAATCTGGAACATATTGTTCTGGTGAAGCTATAGCTATATAATCTTAATGACATAATTCAGAGCACCAGGACCACAAAGCTTACATGCAAGAGAAGATTCCACACTGTCATGTAAGGCAGCTCTCCTCTTGGCTTTTTATTCATCTTACCCAGGGATGGGCAATACTGGTCCTCGAGGGTTGGTGTCCCACAACTTAGACGTCTCCCTGGTCCAACACACTTGAATCCAACAGCTGAATCACCTCCTAAGTGCAGTCAGGTTCTCCAAAGTCCTGCTAACGACCTCATTATTTGACTCAGGTGTGTTGAAGTAGAGATGCATGTAAAAGTTGCAGGAGACCGCCCCTCGAGGTCTGGAGTTGCCCACCCTTGGAAGTTTAGAACCCTTGTTCTAACCTTCCATGAGTGCCATCTTTCATTCTCACCATTTCCTCTTACCACTGTTGAGCAGAAGCAGCTGAACTCCCTTTGCACATGGCAGAGCCTTATGCATGTAGACTGACCCAACACCAGACCGGTGCCAGACCGACCAACTGTGTCTGTGATCTGCCAAACCAGATTACAGGGAAATCCCTGACAAAACTGTGTTTTTCTCACTGGCTGGTGGAGGGTATTTACCATGGCTGAGACAGTAATTATTTATTTACATGATTCATGCATCCATGACTTGTGATACTGTCTTTCAGTGTTAAACCTTGTCTCACTCCTAGACAAAGCAATTTTCTTGAGCCATCTTTTCTCTCACTGACTTAAAAACCGACTCGGAGTTTTCTGTACTTTTGTGTTTCTCTGCTACTGCTGCCACTGCCTCTCTACTTTTTCAATAGCATAGAAGGTACTCCTAGTTGAGTGCTTGTGTTTTTTGTGTATGTGCTCTGTTTTCTCAAACCCCGGGCATTGGTGGCAGACGGCCGCTCACCTGATTCCGCTAGAGGTCCCTTCCTGTTAGAGGGGAGTTCTCTCTGCTCTCATGTCAATCAATCATATGATTGATTGCTGCACAGTTAGTCTTGATGCAATCAACTGTCCACTGCAGCTACATGCTCAGAAGGGATGATTGCCGCAAGTCTCAATGCAATCTGCTAGCTTTCTTTGCAAAGTTTTCATTACCAGTTGAAATGATAAACTGTACCTGACTGCATTTATTCAAAAGAGAGATCAATCTTGAATGTATTTATTTGAATTTGAGCTCGACTGTTTGGATTGAATATGTATTTCTGAATTTAAATGAGATGTTTTTGGTTTGTTTTTGTGACTTGAGGCAACTATCTTTGTGAACTAGTGCTCTGCAACTTATCTGAACTGTATTGAATTGAAGTGAATTGAATTGAATTGAATTGCTGGAACACTTTGAACTGGTTTTGTAGTCCTTTCCAGACTGATAGATGTCATTAACCGTGTTTCCATCAAAGTTTTCTTTAAGCACATTTTTTAAAGTACCGCACTAGTTAATGATCAGGTTGGTGTCGCTAGTGACATTAGACTCAGCTTTTGAGTTAACTCATGATTTAACAAATGTATCATTGACGTTTTTGGAAAGCTTTTCTCCCCTCAGTTAAAATCCTAATTTTGTATGTTCTCAGTTTATCTTTATTAAATGTTCAAATTTGTTTGATGATCTGAAATGGAACAAAAATAGGGAAAAAAAAAAGTGAAATGTGTATGCTATGACCATATTTTACACCCTCGTGATATCTTCTTCTCTTTACTGATATCTCAGCATTCGTCTGGGCTTATGTAACTTTTCCTCCATTAATGTCCTCCCCTTCTCTAGCTCTGTAGCTTAATCTCCTGCTTCCTTATTGTCAGTCTCTATCAGAGATAGATTCAGTCACTTCAAGGTTTTCCACTCCTTTTAAACCTTGCCGTTTTTGTAGCGTTTATAAGGTACAACATAAATAGATCGCATCAAATGAATTTACTTATTTTACAGCACTTTCACAGTGATCCTCGCAGAGATGATGTGTCTGCTATTTTCATCCCTCTGGAGATTAGATTTGTACCACATGGATTTGGAAAGCTGACGTACATGACTGTTTATCTGTGAGATTCCAGCAGAGAGGGCTGCCGAATCTTCCTGCCATTGGTTTCCTGCTTTCACAGCATTAAGAAAGTTAGTGGCTGGCAGGAATCCCAAGGCTAAATCTTGAAAACCTTTCAATAATGGCTTGTGTTTTTGGAAGTGAACCACAGGCTTAGAAATGTGCATTATTAGTTTACGCAGCGTCATCTCTTTGGTAATAAGAGCGAAAAGATCACTTTAAAGATAATTAGTTTTGGTAATTATATTAATGTATTTGTGTTTTAGGTCTCAGTTATTTTGTTAAAAAGACTAAAATTCCAAAGGCAAGCCGTTAATGAGTCTCTGTGCTCATCAGATGTACTCTCATGAGTTTGATCATGTCATCAGTTTGTCATTAATACAGAAGTCTGTTAATGACGATCAGATTTCAGCCAGGGGTCATGTATGGTGTGAGGTTTTGGAAAGTTACACAGTCAAATATTAACAACAACTCGGATTATTTAGCCTGTAATGGGAGTTCATTTGCCAAAGTCATATTTTTACCAGGCCTTTCATTCATTTATAAAAGTCTCAGTTTCAAACTAAATATTTAGATTTAAACTAAATATTTAGCTAATATGCAAATTTGCTTGCCAACAACTGGAAGTGGACTATCAAAATAAAATCTGGGTCTTACAAACCTTCATATAAACTCCTGCTGGCAGGCGGGGTGTTACTGTTACTGTAGAGATCCAATGATACAAATCTGTGCCACCATTAAGACTGTTCATCCTATGTTTTAAGTTGAAATGTTGTAAATGTTGAGAGGAAATGGGACAATCATGAAGAGGTGACACGAGCAACTCTCAGCCAGCAGTGGAGCCAGATAATGTTCATATTAGCGGTCAGGCTGGGACCGTTGCTCACTTAGGCCATCTGATTGGTGCCAGAGCCACTTCATCAGACTGTGATGGAGACCAGGGGTTCCATCCCATGTTGATTATTGATATTATGTTGTTTTCAGTTCAAATGTGTTTTGTATCAGTTCTTTATTTCAGTTACATGGTGACATTTGGTGAACATTCTTTTTGGGTAGGGAGACTGGCCATCTTTCCTGTTCAGAGAATGTGGGGGAAAATGTCAGTTTGTTTTGATTTAGATTAGTTCAATTTGAGTTAATTGAGTATTTGCCTTTCTGGGTGTGTCTCAGCAAGGTGGAGCAGAGAGGGAGACGAATGCTCCTGGAGCATACCAGCTTCCATTAGGAGGGGGAATACTCTGAGGATTTATATTTAGTTATATTTACTTTTGATTGACTTTAGGTTAGTTTAATTTTAATAATGTGCATGCATGTAACTATTTGTTGGATCATTTATTTGTTAGTTTTGTATAAGTAGTGTTTGTGTGTCTTTTCTTTTGATCACCCCTTTACCTGGTGTCAGTGTTGGAACTTGCCTCAGGTATAAATGTCAGCTTCTTTGTTTCACAAAAAAAAAGGGTGTTGGTGTAATGAAGACTTGGAGCTCCCAAATAAATCCACCTCAAAGACATTTGTTGCCTCACTTCCTTCTTTAACGCAGAGCCTCCGCTGGTCAAAGTGACACAGACCATTTAAATTATTTCACTAATGACAGAAATTGCTCATTCCAGAGGTGTGCTCCACTGGTAAGTTACCTCCCTATGGGAACAACCAATCACTTGGCAAAGGATGGCTAGGCCTTCTCTGGTTCACAAGACCCAGCTTTTTTTTTTTTTTTTTTATTGGTAGTCCACTTCCAGTCATCAGCAAGTGAATTTGCAAAGCGAGCTGAATATTTTCCTCTGAGCTAAATATTAGCTAACATCCATATTAATTGAATATTTGACTTCAAACAAAATATTCAGTTTAAAGCTCAGCAATGCAGACATGGTCGGACAGCGGGCAGAGAATGTTCAGTCAGACCATTAGTTCCCTAAAAAACTTCTAAAAGTGCACATGGTGTCAAATGTCATTCTGCAAAGGGTGAGAGGGGGAACAACTGGTGCGTCAAAACCAAACATTTCACATTTTTCCTTTCGTTTCCTTTCTACCCTCTTTATTCTCGCAGCAACATGTACGACTTCTACCACTACTTCTACATGCTGACCAACGTGCTGTTCTACGTCAGCTCGGCCATCAACCCCATCCTCTACAACCTGGTGTCTGCTACCTACCGCCAGATCTTCTTCACCACGCTGCGCTACTTCTTCGTGCCCTGCCGCCACACACCCAGGAAGCAGCTGCACCCCCTGACCCGCCACTCCATCAGCATTTCCAGCAACCACACCTTTTCCACCAACATCATCAAAGAAACAACGTACTGACAGTACGGAACTGCTTGCTGCCGTGCTGCAGCGGCAGAAGGAAACCTCCGTTAGACGTTGGGTCATGGTGCACGTCGTGGAACTGTGGTGATCATCATTTGTCCTGGTAAACCAAGTACCCACCCAGAGACCACTGTCATTTGACTGCAACTGCACAATGTCTCGTGACTTCATCCAGCATTGCATGAAGTGAGGTGAACATTTTGTTTCTTATGATGTTAAATATAAACTTCAGAAACTCTATAAACATGGCCTTTGGCAATACTGTCAGTGCAATGGCAGCCATGGTGTAACCATCATCTGTGAGCGTCTGTGGATAAACCTCACTTTGATGTTAGATGAAGCAAAGCAGGGTAAAGGGCGTAAAGTCTGTGGAGGAAAACCCCTTTCATCACAGGCTCTTTACCCGTCCTGCATGTGTTGACTTTGGTCAAGCGAAACTCTGCTGCCCAGCTCTCAGCCTGCAGGAGGTCCTTGTTGTACAGCTCACCTCCTGATATCCAGCGGGGTTTTGTAAATACACTCACAGGGAGAATGTTAATTTCTGACACTTTTCGGTTTTCATAGCAAAAACCTGTGAAAGCATAGCCAGAACAAAAGAGGCTGTGACTGATTGTTGTACTTGTGCATAACTATGTCAGAAATTATACACTCTGGAAATAAAGTTGTTCCTAAACTCAAGTGTCAGCATCTGTTGAAAGAAACAATAAATCAAGTGAAGGACTTCTTGCTAACTAGTCCAGATGTCCAGAGATCTCTGGATTCTTCTTTTTGAGCAAAGCAAGGATTGGAAACAATCTGGGCTACTTTGCAGCAAAGGCACAAAATAACTTGAACAGAGGATAAAGGAAGAGCGAGCGCCGAGAGACCCACAGAGTTTTCAGACTAGTGTGATTTTTTTTTTTTTACATTTATTTTCCAAGCAAATCAGAAGCCTGTTTATTACAAAACAATCAGAGCAGAGAGATCTGCTTATGTGAAAAGTGGCAAACATTATCATTTGGCTTGAGGCCACACAAAACATTTTAACAGTTTAAGAGAAGAGGATTTTCAAGGATTCATTAACATTTAACACTTTAATTACTTGGCCTGTAACTTTATAAATAATAACTAAGCAAATATAAGACTATTGACAGAGTCCTTATTTGTCAATGAGGAAGTAAATGTTAAATGGCTTGTACTTGTTTGGAACATCATCAAGTCCAGAGGAGCCCAAATGTGAATGTGTGTGCGTCAGTCACACACACATTCACATTTGTGAACCTGTATATTGAGGTGCACCACTGGGCCTTCTGACTGTCACCAGCAGGCAAGGCAGGTGAAGTGTCATACCTGAGGATACAACTACTGAGATGGATGAAATGCGAGTTGAAACCAGCAGCCCACTGATTATGAGTAAGTGAAAGTTTTTCACAAAGTTTTGAAGTCTGGAGTAATAATAATTGAAGTGATTAATTGCAGGTAATATTGTAAGGTGAAACCAAACATTGAGTTTTACTGTGGTTTTCCATAGGCACAATGAAATATTCTGAACTTGACCATACCCTTGTTTCCACTGAGGTGCGGCACAGTTTGCAGGCTAATGTCTTCAGCAGAGCTTTTCTCCCCATTTGGACTCTCATCAGGCAGACAGAGTTAAACCCCAGGGCCTAACGTTGCGTCATACTAGTCAGCGAACATAACATGTCTTTTGCTTGCCATAGCAGTGATGTTTTTCTGTATCTCAGTCCATGTGCTGTGTTGTGCTACTCCGGTAGCTCCTCCCTGACTGTACTGCACATTTATTCTGTGGATCTAGAATGAAGCAGTACGGGTTGGTTGTATGGGCGACTTTTACAATGGAGATGGACTAAAAGGCATACCGAACTGCCCTGACTCGTTCCATACCGCTTAGTGGAAATTAGGTGTTAGCTTCTTTTTGCTGCTTGATCTTACACTATATTTTCAATGTTATCAAAAAAAGCACCAAAGCTCTAAATGAAAAATGAGTTCCACTATTAGCGAAAATGTGCCTATCAGTGATCATAATGGTATGCCTACTCAGTGTACATATCTTCTAGTATATAACCAAATGACTGGATGTTTTAACTTGACTTTTATGTAGGTATTGTTTCAGATGTCATTGTTTAAAACCAGTCAGGACAGTGTCATGCAGCGTGTCAAGGAAAATTGTTCAATGCTGCTATGCACAGTGAATGTTGGGGCGAAAAGTCCAATTTCTATAATGGTATTTATCAATTTAATCATCACCGATGATGCAAAAACAAGCACTCTGAAAGCATTAATAACGGAGACAAGAGGTTTATTGGAGTCTAATAATTACTGGACTGTGTTTTTACAATAGTTGCTCACATGGTCATTTTCTTTAAAGGAGCCAACAGAGGCAAGTTGTAAATAGTAGAAAGTAAAGATAATGGACCTAATTTATGCAGGTAAAATTTGACCATGAGCACTAACTGAATTCACTCAAATTCAATGTACAATTTATAGTGTTCAGTTCGATCAAAAAGAAAGTAGTCTTTTTTTTGTTGTGCGTTTTAATAAGTTAGTCAAGTCTTTTTGAAGTTCTCTAAAGATGAATTGCCCGAAGTTGACTTCCTGTTCATGTCACCAATATTCTAAGTCACTTTTGCTAATCTTACAGTTTCTTCCTAATTTTTCCTCCTATTTTCTTCACACAGGATACAGAATGAAACTTCAGTTTGTCTGACACAATCTGAAGCCAGGTTTTTCTGGCCAAAACAGAACAAAAATCCCTCCTTTGAAGAGGAGAAGGCCAAGTATTGTGGTGTGTTTGGTTAACAAGACGAAGCAGGACGTAAGCAAGTGACGCTACTCCAGCTTATTGGGGCGAAGAAAGATCTGGGCCAAAATGTGAAGCTCTAGATTTACCAGACCAATTTCATACCTTCATCTATGGTCATAAGCAATAACTCATGAGCGAAAGAATGCGATCCAGCATATGCTGGAGGCAGCATATAAACAGCCTCCAACTTTTGCAGCTTGAATTTTTCTGCAATAACAATTAACTCAGTATTTCCCCTTATATTATGAAGAGTCTGCTGACAGAATTCCCCCTGTTATGACAGTAAAGGGAGGCTTATGATTAGGACTGCCACTAATACATAATACTAATAAGCATAAAATGTATTTTTTTTTTTTTTTTTTTGCAGTTTTGAAATGCAAATCTTTGGAAAGTGCAGATGCTTCATTCTCTTAATTCCAAGTTCTTTTTGGCTACTCCATTCTTATAATTCTTTAACAATGGATTTGGATTAGCCATTAATCTACAGCAAACATGGAAAATGTTAGGTTGTTTCTTTTTTGTTGAACTTTTACCTTTCAAGTTTTAAGTTTGGTAATCTAACCTCAGGACTACGCATAGCAGGAAATGATCTTACACTGTTATGCATTTACAGAATGTCTGCAGCGACATTGTGGACTTAAGCAGGTTGTGTTGGTGTGTTGACAAGTTCCTGCTAATCCCTGGATGCACACATAGAAGAAGCAAATCCTCTTCCCTGAAACCCCCGACCACTGTCACATACTGCATGGTTTGCTTTTTCCACGCTACCAAGTTCCTGGCAGTAGGAATGTGTGTGAGTTAATCAGTTGTGGGTGGATGCGGTCCAATGGTTAGCATTAGCTTAGATGTTTTAGGTTCAGGCTTTAGATTAAGCAACCACAAGATGGGTTTTAACAGAGGGAAACAATTTATAAGCATATAATGAGGTGGATTTTCTTTTTCTTTTTTTTTTTTTCAACGAATACCAAAGTACAAAAACTGAGATACCAAATTTGAAAAAAAAAAACTATAACAACAGTGTTAATGTAAGCATGAAATAAAAATAAACAAAACCTATAAAAATTGCCTGTTTTATTCAATTGTTTAGGTTCTACTGCAACAACCGAGCACTTTAGCAAATAACAGGGTAAAATTTCAATCCATCACTGAGTGTAAAACCTGATCATCTTGTTATGTCATGATGGTAATGATAACCCAAATCCTGACTGGTTACTGATATAGAAAAAAAAAAAAGCTAAAAAATGATCAAATAAAATTGGTGTAAGAATTTCCCACAAATTAAGATAATTTGGGTAACTTTTCATCAATTGTTCTGGATAGAAAGTATGTCACATTTCAATCAATTTAGACGTTAGGTTTCTCTAATTTCCCCAATGCTTTAGTCTGATCTTATGTTATTCATCTAGAAATAAATTACTTAATTGTTTTACAGAAACAATGTATTTTTCTGTTTTTTTTTTGTTTTGTTTTTAAGTGTGGTTGTCTTGTAGAGCCTCTGCTTTCTAAGTTTTCAGTTTGGCACCATGCATACCAGGAAGCAGCTACATAATGCAGAGCATTCACATCTGCAGCAACATTATGGTCTTAAGCAGGTTGTGTTGTGTTGACAAGTTCCTGCTAAACCCTGGATGCTCACATAGAAGAAGCAAATCCTCTTCCCTGATATCCCTGACTAGAGTCACATGAATGAGTAGCTGTTTCTGTGTCTCCAGCTTCCTGGCAGCAGGAAGTGAAGATCCTCTCTATCAGAGCAGCAACAGTTAAACCAAGACTTCAGTGCTTCTTTCCTAAATTCACCTGGTTTGTCCACCAGGTTAAGAGAAACTAAACAATAAGGCCTGGGGTGTTTTCACACCTCATAGTCCAGTTGAAGACCAAAGTTGCAACATTTGTACCATTTCCAGCTGGTGAGCTTTGCTTTCACGCTTCACTGCACCAAACATTTTAAAAAAACCTGTTCCCCTCCTCGCCTGTGGTGGCGCTGCATCAAGAGCGACTGAAGGAAATCACACAAAAACCTCTGATTTAGACACTCAGTGCAACTTCCTTCTTCACAAAATGTAAATAAAAATGAAGCAGCATCAGATTTTAGCAGTTGTAGGATTTCTCTTTCTTTGGTAACTGATAATGAGCCATTCCTCCCGCTAGTGCTGGATTCACATGTTTGTTTTGGTTGTATTTACCCAGAATGCCATGCACTATAGACCACTTCCTGCTTTTGGAGCGGTTCCTGGTCGACTTGGCGTCCACATTCGAATCGCACAAGAGTTCACTTCAGCTGATCTAAAATCTGGGTCTGTAGGCAGACCAGAGTTTGCCTTTTTGGTCTGAATCAGTATTGGATAGCTCATCCACACCTCCTCAAACAAACTGGCCTTTCTAGGAAAATGAACTAAACAGGGCTGGTTTGAATGCAACCTTAGTTTGTGGTAAGTTCGTGAAATAAATAAATAAATAAATACAGACTTTCATATCAAGTTTACATGGCAACAAGTGATTCAGAGTTAAAACCCTCAGACTGTCACTGTATGGAATTCCTCAGTAAGGAATGTAGCCATTGACTGAGTCACTATAACATCTAGTTCAAAACTCCAAAAAAATAGTTTTAGATTAATCAAAGCTGCTGTTTTATTAAGATGAGTACTACTTTGTTCTACTCTTGTAGAAACTCTATTGGGTTGATGGTTTCTGCCATGACTTAAAAAAACTTTCTGAATATCAACTTTCTTTAAATGCACATCATAAAAATATGACTGCCGGCATGTTTCTCTGGCGCTCTCCCCTGCTGAGCCGCAATATATAAGAGTATACTATATCGGGAAGGTTTCACCTCCACACAGACTGCTCATTTGTGCAAACACACCACTTAGCAGAG